CATTTCAAGTTCTCTTCAACCATTTAATCCATTTTTTTTTTTTTTGCTTTTTGGGTTACACCCGGCAATGCTCAGGGGTTACTCCTGGATTTGCACTCAGGAATCACTCCTGGCGGTGCTCGGGAGACCATATGGGATGCTGGGAATCGAACCTGGGTTAGCCGCGTGCAAGGCAAACGCCTTACCCGCTGTGCTATTGCTCCAGCCCCATCCATTTAATCCATTTTAAAACTTCAGTATTTATACTAAAGTTTTCCATTGAATTATATAAATAATACTGAGTCAGCTTCTTATGACTGTTTCCCCTTTGATTACTGGTCAAAAAATTTTTTTCTTCCTCTCTGGGGATCATAAATAGTGTGCCATGATTATTTCAGTACATGTAGGGGCACTAGGCAAGTTCTGTAAAAGCCACTGAGCTGAACCATCTTTTGGACCACCTGGACACAATTTTTTATTGTATATTCAGCACTGAGTACAAAAGAACCATAGAGATGGTTATAGACTGAACACAGGTATGTATGGTTACCTGAATCCCCCCACCTTAGACTTGTATGTTGAAGCCCTAGCTTGCCAATGAATTTTATTTGGAAACAGAGATTTAAAGGAGGCAAAATAAGGTTAAATGAGGTCATAAGGGTAGGACTTTAATCCAATAAAGTTACTGTCTTCCTAGAAGGAGAGGATGCGGCACCACCAGCAAGTCAACCTGTACCCACTGGGTGATGCATCAGGGCTATAGCTAACATCTATATGGGTACAGTACTTAGCAAACCCAACAATGTTCCAACGCCATCCCACTACCAAAAAGACTCCTCTTTCCATTCCTACAATGACCCCACACCCTATAACCCTAGGTTATGGTAACCTCCAGTTTTCTGGGGGTTAAGTTTAGGAATTACATTTTATTTAGAGCGATAGCACAGCAGTAGGATGTTTGCCTTGCATGCGGCCAACCTGGGTTCGATGCCTCCATCCCTCTTGGAGAGCCCTGCAAGCTACCAAGAGTATCCCACCCCCACGGCAGAGCCTGGCCAGCTACCGTGGCATATTCGATATGCCAAAAAAAATTTACAAGAAGTCTCAAAATGGAGGTGTTACTACTGGTGCCCACCTGAGCAAATCGATGAACAACAGGACGACAGTGCTACACTGCTATTTATATTTTCTGTTTGCTTGCTTTAATAATTATATTCCATGTATCAGGGATACAATACTGTAACTTTCACTTTCTTACTTATTGCACTTATTGCACTTAGCATAATAACCTTATATTTCATTTAAAATAGAACTTTACTTTTAATTTTTCTTTTCTTTTGCAGGGGCAGGGGTGAAGAGCATACCCAGTGGTGTTCAGGGGCTTTTTCTGGAGGTCCTTGGGGAAACCATGTGGTGTCACCGGGCCTACCTCAGGTACCACATACACTCTAGCCATTTGAAGTATCTCTCCACACCTATTACTCCTTTTTTATCCTTAGAATATTTATACTTTAACCATCTCCCATGTTTCAGCCTAACAGAGTTTTATTTAGTGATTTATTTTTCAGTGCCAGGGACTGAACCCAAGGCTTCACACATGAAAGGAAGGTGCTTTACTGCTTTACCATCCCCCCAGTTCTTCAACCTAGTATATTTTAACAAAAGCTTTACCATAGTTTAGAGGAGTTTTTTTGGTATTTGGGCCACAGTCAATAGGTCTTCCTCTGTGCTCTAAGGTTACTCCTGTTGCTGCTTAGGGAACAATGCAACGCTGGGCCTAGCTGAACCCAAGCCTCCTAAATGCAAAGCATGTGCTCCATCCCATCAAGCTACCTCTCTGGCCCCAAAACACTTCAATGGAGTTTCACCAGCAAAACTACTTTTTGTGACCATAAGGCTTCTACGTTGTTGAATTACACTTGCTGTGGGTTTGTTGTTGTTGTTGTTGTTGTTATTTGTTTTCTTTTGGTTTTGGAGCTATACTGAGCAGTGTTTAGGGACCACTCCTATAGTGATTGGGGGATCACATGCAGTCTTGGGAATTGAACCTGGATTGGCTGTTTGCAAGGTAAGCAAATGGCCAACCTGCAACTTTACCTTCTGAATTATCTCTCTAGCTGTCTACACTTAGCTTATATTTGAGCAGCATCACAATTATTACTGGTGCCAAGGACTGAACCACGCAAAGAACTGAACCAAGGCCTCATACATGCAGAGCAAGTGCTCTCTTGCTGAACTGCATCCCCAACCTAAAACATACCTATTTTCCATGTGGGTTCTTTTTTTGTGTTTTGAGAGGGGTGCCAGGGATTGGACCCCTAGCCTCAGGTGAGAGACATGTGTTCTGTGCTCTACCATTAAGCTACACCTCTGGCTTTTGCTTCAACTTTCTTTTTGTTTGGTTTTGGCTTTTGGGTCACACCTGGCTTACTCCTGGTGGGGCTTTGGGGATCATATGGGGAGATGGGGATCAAACTTGGATTTGCCCCATGCAAGGCAAGCACATTAGCCTCTGTAAAAATGTTCAGATCCACTGGTTTCAACTTTTTTTTGGGGGGGGTCACACTTGGTGATGCACAGGGGTTACTCCTGGCTCTGCACTCGGGAATTACTCCTAGCGGTGCTTGGGGGACCATATAGGATGCTGGGAATCGAACCCAGGTTGGTCGCGTGCAAGGCGACCAATGCCTACCTGCTGTGCTATGGCTCCAGCCCCTGGTTTCAACTTTTAATGTTTTATAAAAACCTATTACATATAAAAAATTTTATTCAAGATCTGTACGTTAAGGGAGAAGACAAAGGGCTGGGTTATAATTATAAAATTAAAGGATGCTTCAGATATTTTTGTACCATGGATATTTTTATGTCTCAGGGCAATGTACCATGCTAAAGGGTCAAATGGTCAAAAATCTGTGGGGTTATTTTTGGTTTTCTGTTCAGATCTGTTGTATTTCTATTTCTTTCAAATAAAGTGGGAAAATAAATGAAAAAGATGAAGTAGAAAAATAGCCACCTTCTTAGAAATATTAATTTTATAAAAGAATACACAGGTGATTCAAAACCTAGCAACAGAATCTTTTTAGATCAACTGTGCCTACATAATTCTTGGAAAGACTGAGTACTTTTCCCCAATTTTAGTATAGCAATCCAAAATCAACTTTCAGGTCTCTGTCAACCCAGAGAGTGTATAGTCATTTACTTATAAAATCAGCCAACAGTGGCCCACATCCTAAATCAGTATGGAAATCGCCAGGGAGAGGGGAAAAAAAAACCCTACAATGCTATTGCTAATTCTTCCTCATTCTTTCCATATAAGCACAGAAAAATTTCTTAGGGAAAAATAGCTCTGGATGCAAGAGAATTGCGGGGGGGGGGTATTGAAGGGGGAAGGGGTTGTCAAAGCACACTGATTTAATTAAAAACTTTTTAAGATCATGTAAAAGTTAAAAATAAGCCCAAAGATGATTTCTCAGAAATCAATTTAGGACATATATGGATGGGGGGAGATTTTATTTATTTATTTTTTTAATTTTTATTAGTGAGACACCATGAGGTACAGTTGTAGACTTACAAATTTTGTGCTTGTGTTTCAATTATACAATGATCAAATACCCATCCCTCCACCAGTGCCCATTTCCCACCACCACGGATCCCAGTATCCCTCCCACCCCCCATCCCCCCATCCCACCCTGCCTCTGTGACAGGGGATTCCCCTCTGTTCTCTCTCTCCTTTTGGGTGTTGTGGTTTGCAAAAGAGGCACTGAGTGGCAATCTACTTTCAGCATGCTTCTCAGATGGGGGAAGATTTAATACACAACTACCAATAATGCTGAACATCACTTTTTTTTTTTTTTGGTAAAACTACTGCTATCCCATCTGGTCGTGCTTTAAAGGTAAATAACTCCACTCATGCTTTCCAAATTTCTGAAAGGGAAAAAGGCCTTCTGCAACTTGTTTAGTAACCAAACCACAGTAATAGGATAGTTACACCAAATTTTGAAAGTTAGATGTTTGGTAACAATATTGTTAATTCAGCAACAGGCAAGCCAACAAGTTCCTCAGGATCTAAGCGTGCGCACACACGCACACACATGCCACCACTTTTGTATAAGACACTTGGCAGAGTCCTCTATTACTTTTCTTAAGGTCAATTTCTAGTCTGATGCCACATATCAATTAGCTGAACTGAACTGTCCTGAGAATTAAAAATCGATGTTTTTTACCAGTAGGTAGCAAGTAAAGTAACACTCAACTGAACACCTGAGAACACTCATGTATTCTACAAGAATGAAGAATGATCAATGCTATTAGAAAGTTCAGATGGGCAACTTTGTGGAAAAGCTGCAGGCTGTTCTTTCAGAATGTAGCTAGAGCAAATGTAGATATGTCCAGTCCTCATTTTGGATACCTAAGGTAAGCCAAAGTGCAGGGAGTGTACCTGTACACCTAAATATTTCTCCCTTTAACACCACCAAGTACGTGAAAGGAAAGAGGCCCTAGTGGCCATGGAGCAGTAAGGAGAAAAGTGGAAAATGACCATAAAGGAAGAGCATGTCAAGGTAGGATTATAAAATATCCCAGGATTCAGGGCTGGAGAGATAGTACCGTGGGTAGGATGCCTGCCTTGCATGACCGACCTGAGCTCAATCTCCAGCAAGAGATAAGCTCCCCTGAGTCCTGCCAGGAGTGATCCCTGAGCACAAAGCCAGAAGCAAGCCCTGAGTACAACCAAATGTAGTCCATCCCCTCCAAAATAAATCACAGGTGTATACAGAGGGAAAAGGACATAAAGAAGATTTATGAACTTCTATGAGATTCTTACGAGAAAAAAATTCTGGGCAGAAAAAAAAACCCAACAAAACATACATATTAGACACTCTTCCCCCCATAAATCACAAACTCTGGGCATAATCCTGCCACATAAAATTGTATACATTAATCTAGATCCTAACTTTAGTTTTAAACAGTCAACAGAGCCAACATTAGCTGTAGATTCATACTAGGGATAAAGATACACTTACCTGCTTCTGGATCTGCAGGAATTCTCCACATGTAGAGGTTGAAGTCATCAGAGCCTGAAAGGATATACTGTTGGGACAAAAATCAAGTTTATTATTTTCATCTTGAGAAACGTAAAAAAATAAGGAAACATAAACATATATTCATAAGTTACCATACATGGCAAACCCCTGTTTAAAAATATTTGCAAATACTTCTTATCATGGTTTAATATGGAGATGCCCAGACCACCCTTGGCCCCAGAGTATAGGGAGGAGAAGGAAAGAAATAGAGTGGAGAGGAGGGGAAGAGATAGAGTGAGTGGAGTGGAGAGAACAGAAGCAACCGGTGGCAGGGGTCAAGGGGATTCAGAAAAATCGGTGATGGTAAGGAATGACAGCTAAACAGTCAAACCACAGAGTCAACAACAACCAAACTTATAAAGGTGCCTGTCTAGATGGCAGGTTGGCAATGGGAGGGAACCTGGGAGAGTTAGTGGAGAGAAGTTGACATTGATGGTGGGATTGGTGCTGGAACATTTTATATCTAAAACTCAGCTATGAATAACTTTGTAGAGCATAGTGCTTCAAAAAAATGTTAAAAAGAAATTACTCAAGAGATAAAAACAGGGCTGGAGCGATAGCACAGCACAGCGGGTAAGGTGTTTGCCTTGCACGCGGCAGACCTGGGTTTGATTCCCAGCATCCCATATGGTCCCCTGAGCACCACCAGGAATAATTCCTGAGTGCAGAGCCAGGAATAACCCCTGTGCATTTCCGGATGTGACCCCCAAGCCCTCCCCAAAAGAGATAAAAACATTAGTTGATTTTTACCACATTTTCAGTTGAGAATAAAAGAATGTTTAAATAAAGAAAAATTTAAAAGTATTTGCAAATCAAAGTATTTGTGGCCAAAAAACTTAGCAACAAAACAATTCAACTGCAACTGTACAAAGTCAGGACAGTGGTAGAGAGTCCTGGACACTTCAGTGGTGTGGGGGTGAGGGCTGGGGAGAGAACTCAAAGGGCTTGCAGAGCACATGCTTCTGCATGTAGGAGCCTTAGGTTCAATTCCTGGCAACAGACGATCCCTTGAAAACCACCAGGAGTGACCCCAAGGGCTAAGCAGGGAGTAGCAGGGAGCATCACCAGATGTGGACCAAAAAACAGAAGAAAAAAAAAAGATAAAAATGCCAGCCACAAAAAATACGTGACTGAGTCCATAGCACAGTGGAAAAAAGAAGTGGGTTTCATTTCCTTATCTGGCTGCTCTCTGCTAGAGTTTGAATGTTGATGTTGTACTGGCCATGAAACCACTCTCTGAAACCTATTTTTACTTCAATACTAGTTTATGCATTTCCAAATAAACTTACTTGAACCTGAAATGTGAACCCAAATTAAGATACAGTGGGGGGTAGGTGCATAATAAAAGAACTGTTCAATAATAATTGATGTTTATAACAAATATACATTATCTACTATCAACTATTGCACCATTTTATGCTCTGTGTTGAAAGGGATCTATAGAACTTTGCATTTCCGGGTTCTGAGGAAAGCACAGGGCTTTGGAGAGCCTGCCTCGCAAAACTGCAGTCATGAGTTCAAATCTCTGGTGTCTGGGGCTGGAGCAATAGTACAGTGTGTAGGGAGTTTGCCTTACATGTGGCCAACCCGGGTTTGATTCCCAGCATCCCATATGGTCCCCTGAGCATCGCAAGGAGTAATTCCTGAGTGCAGAGCCACGAGTAACCCCTGTGCATTGATTGTCGGGTGTGATCCAAAAAGCAACAAATAAATAAATAAATAAATCTCTGGTGTCCTACATATGCTTCCAGCCATCCTGGCAGCTCTACCATTGCAGTCGGAAAGCTCTGCTGCTGCCCGCAGTCCCTGGGGCCACAGTGAGTTCCAGTCACACCACAGTCTGATGTGTGCAGGGACCACAAAATAGGGTAAACTCTGGACAGCTGCTGCAACTAAACAGTGTGTAAGCTCCAATGTCAGGAAGAACAATCCTGGGCGAGCACCACAGTGACCTCCAGTGTAGAAGCACTGCAATTTAAGAATACCAACCTCGGTAAACACCAAAGCTAAGACTATGTAAGAACCACAGCCAGACATAAGTGCAACCCAAGAAAGAGCAACAACATCACAAAGAAGGAATTTTTTTTAATGCCGCTAAAAAAAAAAGAAAATAAAAATAGAACTTTGTATTTCTAAATTCCTGCAATCCAATCTCCCCAGACCTTCCCTAAAATACATAATTACTAAATGCAACGATGCTTCAATTAAGACAGCACTGCACTGTAGCACTGTCCTCTCATTGTTCATCGATTTGCTGCAGTGGGCACCAGCAATGTCTCCATTGTGAGATTTGTTACTGTTTTTTGGCATATTGGAGACACCACAGGGAGCTTGCCAGGCTCTGCTGTGCGGGTGGGATACTCTCGACAGCTCTCCAGGCTCGCAGAGAGAGACAGAGGAACCGAACCTGGGTCAGCTGCATGCAAGGCAAACGCCCTACCCGCTGTGCTATTGCTCCAGCCCCTCATCTACTAATTTCTGAGTCTATTTTGTGAGCTACCCTTTAATGACCTGGTTTTCTAAGTAGTTGAAACAACACCAAAATGTCCTAAATCAAATACATATTATACTTTACTATCTAATAGGGTGGGGCTGGAGCGATAGCACAGCAGGTAGGGCATTTGCCTTGCACGAGGCCAAACCAGGTTCAATTCCTCCGTCCCTCTCGGAGAACCCGGCATGCTACTGAGAGTATCCCGCCCACACGGCAGAGCCTGGCAAGCTCCCTGTGACCTATTTGATATGCCAAAAACAATAACAAGTCTCACAATGGAGACGTTACTGGTGCCCGCTCGAGCAACTAACACAGATAAAAAAAAATATTAAAGTGATCCAATAATGGACTTCTCAAAAGTTTACTATTTCATGAAGGACCAGAGGCTCTCCTGTTTGTTCAGTTATTCATAAAAAAAAAAAAATCACGAAAAGGTAAATGGGACACCCAGGCAGAACGCTGACTCAGGAGACTGCCTTAGAAGGAAGAAAACTCTCAAGGTTCTTGGATTTCATATGACAGCTCCTAAAATACGTAGAAAATGTGTCCAATGAATAGGCTTCTACTCAGGGATAAAGGCAAATCTCTTCCTCTTGGAACCACCACAAGGGAGTAGCTTGGGATGATTTCCAAGGAGAGGGTCTTGACCCACTGCTGTCTAGTCAAACCACTTAAGTGTTCACACACACACTGGAATCACAAAACTGCCTTGAGGAATTCATTTATGGCATTTCATGGTTGTCTGCTGGGCTTCTTCCAGCAGTAAAATTTGGCTGCCTAGGATACTGCTGACTGTGGGAGACTGAAATAGAAATGAGTTCATCCCTTTATTCATTAAACAAATATTTTTCAAATGTCTACTATGTGTTGAACACATTCCAGGAAGAAGCATACAGATTGATCAAAAAGACCTTGTCCCTGCCCTCATGAAACTTACTTACATATCTTAGTGGGTGGGGAGAAAAAAAATTAGATGTGTATATAAAGTGAGTGGAATATGGTAGAAGGAAAAACATCAAAAAGAATGCATTTGTGGGCCAGAGAAACAGTACTGGGGTTCAGGCACTTGCCTTTGCATGCGACTGACCTGGCTCAATCCCTAGCACTGAGTGGTCCCTGGAGCACCACAAGGCATGACCCAAACTCCCCTCTTCACAAAAGAAAATATTTGTGTGTGAGTGGTGGTAGAAGTGAGTGTCTAGAGAAAAGTATAACAGCAGATTAGGGCACACAGAGAGTGCTGGGTAATTTGTTTCCATTTTATATAGGGTAGTCACAGTAGGTCTCTCTGATAATATGACATTTTGAACAGAACACCAAAGGAAATGAGGTAGCAAGTAACACACACACACACACACACACACACACACACACACACACACACACACACAGTATTCCGGTAGAGGGTTTCTGAGATATTTTACAAAAACACAAGGTAATCAAATGAGCTCCTTTTGTCATTCTTCCCCCTCAGTACTGCTGAAATAAAAATTTCACGTGGACTGTCAGCAGAAATATATTTAACATCATCAGATCAGTTAGAAAGACTCTGTTCTGAAAGTATACTGGGGGCCAGAGGGATAGTATATGGACGGTAAAGAAAGCACTTGCCTTACACGGGGCTGACCTTGGTACCTTCCAGCACTGCATATGGTCTCCTGAGACTGTCAGGGATCACTACTGATCAAAGAACCAGGAAAAGCCCCCGAACAATGGTCAGAATAGCCCAAAAACCCATCCAAAAATAAATAAAATAAATAATAATGTGTCAGAAGTGTGGGTTCATCTCTGGATTCAGGCTAGAATCACCAAGTTCTACTTATAGTGCTCAAGAGGACAATCAGATAAAATATAAGTCTTCATTGGCCAGCTCATAAATATTAAAATATTTGCTATGCAGTTATTTGTAAGTAATATTTGCAAGGACAACAGCGACATCAGTCAGGCAAAACCGTCGATTGAATATGATGTGGTCCATTTCGTTGTGGAATTGTTCACCAGGAGACTCCCATGTCCAATGTTTAGATTCTGCCTTCTGGAACTGTGAGTTACCATGGATGGTCCTGGTCGACATGATGAACTCAGACAGTCTCTCACCCTGTTCGTTCCATTCTATGCCATGGGTCCTGATGTGGAGTTCTTCAGCTGATCTTCTTGGTCCTACCTTGGCATTAAAATCACCCACAATGATCTTGTAGAAGGTGTGGTCTTCTTTATAGAACTTCTCCAGCTCCATGTAGAACTTCTCGATTTCTCTTCCATCATAATGAGATGACTGCAGGCAGTGAGCCACATCTATTCAAATGTAAATGTCCGATTCGGGTTGTTAGGCATTCAAATGAATCAATGCTCATGGCCAAGTTTGTGTTGACAAGGACACCGATGCCTCTGACACCTCTTTTATGGCATGTTCCGAGGAACAATTCTTCTCCAGTGTTGAAAACGGCATGGTGAGATTCATGCCTTCTTGTCTCGGTCAGACCAATGATGTCGTACTTGATCATTCGCGCTTG